GTGCTCAACTACTACCGCACGGGCAAGCTGCACTGTCCCGCCGACGTGTGCGGGCCGCTCTTTGAAGAGGAGCTCACCTTCTGGGGCATCGACGAGACCGACGTGGAGCCCTGCTGCTGGATGACCTACCGGCAGCACCGCGACGCCGAGGAGGCGCTGGACATCTTCGAGAGTCCGGACGCAGGCGGCGGCGGCGGCGGCGGCGCGGGGCCCGGCGACGAGGCCGGCGACGACGAGCGCGAGCTGGCCCTGCAGCGCCTGGGCGCCCACGAGGGAGGCGCGGGCCCAGGCACCGGGTCCGGGGGCTGCCGTGGCTGGCAGCCTCGCATGTGGGCACTCTTTGAGGACCCCTACTCCTCCCGGGCAGCCAGGGTGAGTGGCGGGACCGAGTGGAGGGAGGGGGCGCGTGGCGTGGTGGGTAGGCGCAGAGAGGGCCGGGGGGGTGGGCCTGACTCTGCTCCCTGCACGCCCCATCGGGAGGGGGCACGCACTTGGCCCGGATCCAGCTGCCTGCCTTGCCGCATCCCCTCGCAGTGAGTGGGCTGCCCCCCAGTCCAGCTCTTACAACCCTTTCCTTGGTCTGCCCAGGCCACCATAGGGGCCCGCAGTCCTGGGGAGCTGGAAGTTGCCCTCCTTCTGCTGGGCTGAGGGAGGGAAACCAGAGTGCTTTGTGGGACCTGTGGGCGCACAAGGCCGCTGTGCATTTGAGAGAAGGGGCATAGGCTTCAGTAACCAGCAGCGCAGTAGGCAGAGTGCAGATCAGAAGCTAAGACCTCTGTCCAGTGCTCTGAGAGGCCCTGTTTCTTCCAGGGAACATGCCTGCCCCTTGGGCTTTCTGCTGGCTCACCTGCAATGGCCTGGCCTCAGCTGGGATGAGGGGCGAGTTAGACAGGAATAGCCCCCAGTGTTCTCTGCCCTTCCTGCTCCCACAGCCAGTGGCCAGCCACAGGCTTCCTGGTGGTGTTGTCTTCCTGCTGCAGCACAAATTGGCTTTCCAGAAAGCCCTGGTTCAGGTTACTGCTTGAAGTGGAAGTATTGGGGGGTGGGGTGGGGGCATAGATTGATGTAGGCAGGATCTAGTGCCCCCCCCAAGTTAACCCACTTTCCCTTAAGCCCTCTAGGTGGCAGGGGGCTGTGGGGGATGACACCTCATTTTGTTTGGGCAGCTGAAAACCATCCTTAAAGATGGCCAGAGAGCCTAGTGTCCAATCTCACGGCCGGCAACGTGTAGGAGCAGGGTCTGCCTGGGAAACAAAAGAGAGTATTGTGATTTGTGGAGTCTGGGGACTGCTGCTTGCTGTGGAAAGTGGTCATCCCTGTGGCATCCCAGGTTCTCATGTCAACGGATCTCAGAGTCCTGCCTCATCCTGAGCCCTCCCCGGTGCCCAGTGTGCCAGCCTCCTCCTGGGCCTGGGAGGAAAAGTTCCACTTCCCCACCCAGGGGAGGGAGAGTGGGGAATGAGGCTGCAGGGAGAGGCACCTCCTGCCTGGGAGAGAAGGGAGGAGCAGAGCTCTCGGGGGCCCGTGGCACGACCGGCGAGGGCTGTGGGCAGCCACTAGAAGGCAGGATCTTTTCCAGGACTGAGAGCGAAGCTAGGGCCACCTGCCTTGATTTCTGGCTTTGCAGCCCTGACGCCAGCTCAGAAGGGGCCGGCACAGCAACGCTTCTGGCATGTGGCTCCGGAGAGTTCCATGGGCTTCTCATCTAGTTTGCTAACCCTGCTAGAGTGGGTTCTTGGCTGTGCGCAGCAGCGGGGATAGCCCAGATTCTCAAAGTTGCAGGGCCGGGGAGGCTTATTAGGCTTGATAGAGATGTGGAAAGGGGGCCCAGTAGGGAGGCAGGGATAGGAGGAGGCGGTTGGGGGAGCTGGGCCCTGTTTCTGAGCATTCTGGCATCTCATGGGACTTTTCACTTGCTCGGCACTTCCCTTGGGGATTCCCAAGGGCTGTACTCTCAAGGAGCTTATTTTCCGTTCAACTCACTGCAGAGTTGGCCCAGCCAGGGGGCCTGTTTGAGGGAGCTGGGAGCCTGGTCCGCTCCTTGGCGTCCAGGAAGCCAAGAGGCAGGCCCTCTTGACATGGAATTTTATCAGCCTGGGCATTCCTGCTGAGGTTTGTTCTTCCATTTCCCCAGTGGAGAAACCAGGATCCAGAGACATTTGGTTTCCTGCCAGAGACACGTACCCAATAGCAAAGCCAGCCAACCACTCCCTTCTCGCCCCAGGAGCCTGGTAATATGGATGGGAGCAGCTGTCTGGAGCTCTGGCCGGCATGTGTGCCCAAACAGGACTTGCCTACTGCAAAGGCCCCAGCTGCTCTTGGGACACCCAAGTGAGAATTCATGAGTCTTAAAATTTAATGGATAGCTGCTACCTGCTGAGCACCCTGTGTGGGTACTCTGCTGTGTATACTTTATACTGCTTTCTAATCGTCTCTGTAAATTAAAGAGAGGCCCATTATCCCAGGCTGGTATCCCCATTTAACAGATGGATAGTGCGAGAGGCCCCTCTCAGTCTCTTGCTCCCTCCTGGGATGACCAGGACGGACACTTCCCTGTTTTCAGGTATCTTGATTCTGCCCTGAGATGTGTTCTGCGCTTCTGCGCCTCTTGTGGATGGTGACAGGAACCCCAGGAGCAGTTGGGGACATCAGAAGGGACACTGAACTCTGTTCCTCCTCCAGGCCTGAGGGCACAGTGCTCCCTGCCCTCCCTCTATACTGTCCCCAGAGCGGTAACACTGCCCTTCCCCGTCCCAGCCCCGATGCCCTGGGTGTAAGCGCCTCTCTTCCCTCCCTCCCAGTTGCTGCCTCCCTGGAAGGGGCCTGAAGCACTGCGGGGTGGGTGGGCCTGCTTCGGACATCACCCGGAAGGCAAATGAGGGCAAAAGAGCAGCGCCGCACCCCGAGGCGTCTCCGCGTGCAGCAGCCCAGGAATTTGAGCGGGTTGTTGTGACAGGAGCCCAACAGACTTACGCAAGGTGCACTGAGCTCATTTGGAGGGCCTGTTGCCTAGCTACGGGCCGGGCGAGAGCTGCTCCCGCATCAGGCAGCCTCCTGGGCTGTCCAGGTCGTGCACCCCTGCTCCCTCTGCTGCGGCCCGGCCGTGGGCAGCTGCCGCCGTGGTTCTGGGTCTGGGTCTGTGGCCTCTCCCCACCTGCTGACTGTCCGCTGCATGGGCAGAGTAAGGGACAGCAGGGGCTGGCAGCACCTGCCTCTCTAGGATGTTCCTTGTCTGAGATCAGATAGCAGGAGGCCCGATGAATGCTCCTCGGGGCACAACCCTGCCTCCAGCCGGCCTCCCTGGCTCCCTGGTGTGGATCGTGTCCCCTCTCCTTGGGTGGAAGCACTTCCTGGCTGGGCTTTCCCACAGTCTCTCTCCCAAGGTGACCTCCAGACTCCCTGCTGCTCCGGGAGCACAATGAGAGCCAGGCTTTCACCTTTACTAAGTACCTGCTGCGTGTTGGGTGCTCCTCCTCTGCTCTCCTCCACCGCCTGCCTCCTCAGTTGACAGATAAGGAAACTGAGGCACGGAGAGGCTTGCACAGCTGGGGTTGGGACCAGGGTCCAAACCTAAGTGCTTTGTGTCCACCTCTGACTCCGGAGAGCTTCCTCACTGGCCAGCTTCCCACTGTGCCCGTCTCTCAGCCCCTTGCTCACTGCCCCTCCCTCTGCAATGACCTGAGCCAAACCTCTCCCTGTCTTCACTGTGGAACCTCCCATAGGAAGAAAGAAGGGAGACAAGACCAGGTTCCTCGTGGGCCGGCAGAGACAGAGCCAAGGCCTTCTAGGAAAGAAATGCACAGCTCCTTGTCCTACCTGCTCCAAGGTCCTTTGCTTCTCTGGTCCAGGCATTGCCTGGGGCCTAGCCAGGTGGTGCTCACCGCTGGCTTTGGAGCTGGGGCCAGGACTTGCTGATCCACGCCTTCTGAGCTAAGATGAGGCAGGTTCCTGAGCCCACGAGGGCTGTGCCCCAGCCTCCCCGGCCCCTCCAGAGTGTAGTGCCCCCCCGCCCCAGGGAAGCCCCTCCTCCTCCTTCCTGAGGCCACGACCTGGGCAGACCCTGCCCTCAGGGAACCTTCCCGCTTCCTCCTGGATTTGTTGTGTGTTTTCCTCTCCTGTTCTGAACAGACCAACACTTGCCTCTGAACATCTTGTCTCTGGATGATGAGGTGTTTGTGTTTGTCACCGTTTGGGGAGGGGTGTGTGATGGGGGAAGGGGGTAAAAGGCACTTGGGTTATTTTGGAGAGTGGGGGAGCGAGCAGGCAGCCGCAGAGTCGGGCGGGGACAGCTTGGGGTGCTGACAGGAACACGCTTGGCTCCTCCTTGTTCTCTGGGTGCAACCAGGCTGCCAGGGCTCCTGCCAGCCCGCTGCTGGGCATTCTTAGGGGGCGGGGGTGGTCCCCCAGGCCCTGGTAGGGGTCTTCATTGGGAAGTGGGTTTGGTCCACCCTGGACAGCAGCAGAAGTCCTGGGAGTGCCCTCCAGCCCGGGTCTGATAACCCCTCCTCATGGTGGAGGCTCACCAAGGCTGGGAGAGGGGGCTGGCAGTCACCCTGGCCAGGCAGTCAGCATGTCCCGAGCACGTACTGCATGCTGGACGCCATGTTGGAGTTGGAAGTGGTCCCTCTTCCCGAACAGAGCCAGGTGGTTGGCAGTGGAAGGAACTCAGGTGATGAGAAACAGCACCTGTAACAAAGATGGACCCTGAGAGGGGCTGCAATAGTCATGAAAAGTGAAGTCCGATGGGAGGTGAGAGCAGAGCGCAGTGTCTCGCCCCTGTGCAGGGCAGCAGCAGCGAGGACCCGGGAGCTGAGCCGGCTGGGAATGATTTTTAGGAGTCAAGTTATACATACATACGTACATACATACATACATAAAATTGCAGTGCGGGTAGTATTAAGCCATGCAGAGTTAGGGAAAGGGAGAGATTCCTGGCCAGAAGACCAGGCTGCACAGAGCTAGGACAGCACGGGACATGGTGGGGTTCCATCTGAGTGGGTGGTGGGTACTGGGGCGGTGATCTGGGCTGTGCGTATCCCTTCTAGGGGTGAGATTTCTCCTCTCCAGGCAGCAGCCCAGCAGCCTTCAGAGGCCCTGTGTGCCATCTGGGCAGAGAGGGAGCACAGGGAGGGGCTGGCCCTGGACCCTGGACCCAGAGGGGCCTGGCTCAGGGTGGGAGAGCCAGATGCTGTCCCTGGGGAATCCCGTAGAGGGGATCTGGCCATCACCCTGGAGCCCAGGTCCAGCTCCGAGACACCTTCCTCTGCACACCTGCTCCTTTCTTGCCCCCACCCCACCCCAAGTCACCCCACTGCCTTTCCAGCCTCGCCCAGGCACCAGAGTCTCCCTTCCCCACAAGCCTCAGCCCCTCACCCCACCCCCACAGATCTTCCTCTGCAAGTGTCTTTGGCTGGCTGTGTTCTCGATTTTCCCTTCTCCTACACTTCGTCCTTAATATAGGTTTTGGGGAATGAGTCTCCTTATGTTTATCGTCCATCTGTCTCCCTGGCCCTCTTTCCTTGGGCTCCCCTCCCCTGCCCCCGCCAATTGTATTCGACTCCCTGTGATCGGTGTCTGTCCCCGCTGCCCTGGACCCAGCCAGTGTGCCAGATCCCCGAGACACTCTCGGCTCGGAGCTCAGTTGCACAGAATCCTTTCTTTTCATCCTCAAAACAACCCAAGAAGGCAGACACTATTTGAATTTTTTTTTTTTTATTTGTTTGAAAAGTAGAAAGAGAGAGGGAGAGAAAGACAGAGACAGGGAGGTTTCCCGTCTGCTTTTCACTCTCTAGGATACATCCAACACCTGGGGCTGGGCCAGACTGAAGCTAGGAGCCCAAGATTCAATCTGGGTCTGCCACGTGGGTGGTAGCGACCCAACTAGTTGAGCCATCACCTGCTGTGTCCCAGGGTGTGCATTAGCACGAAGCTGGAATTGGAAGTGGAGCCAAGGCACTCTGATAAGGGATGAGTGCGTCCCAACCAGTAGTTAGCTGCTTGGCCAACCCCTCGGCCTGATACTCCTTTTTATCTCAAGCACCAGGCACACGATGGCCTCAGGGCCTTTGCACCATCTGTTCCTTTTGCCCCTTGGACTTGTCACTGTGGTCTTTTTTTTTTTTTTAAGAGATGACACTTTTTTTAAAAGGATTTATTTATTTATTTGAAAGTCAGAGTTACACAGAGAGAAGGAGAGGCAGAGAGAAAGAGGGAGAGAGATCTTCCATTTGCTGCCTCACTCTCCAAATGGCCCTGGTTGGGCCAGGCCAAAGCCAGGAGTCAGGAACCTCTTCCAGGTCTCCCACATGGGTACAGGGGCCCGAGCACTTGAACCATCTGCTGCTGCTTTCCCTGGTTCATGAACAGGGAGCTGGATGGGAAGTGGAGCAGCCAAGACTCACACCTGTGCTCTTATGGGATGCTGGTGTCGCAGGCTGCAGTTTTACCCAGGACGCCACAGTGCTAGCTGCCACTATAGTCCCACCTGAGTGTTCTGCATGACGTAGCTGCCCTACACCCTCGTGTCTCCTTTTTCTCTCCAAAACTCACACCCTTTGACATACTGTGTATTTTACCTTTTTTGTTGCCATTCTGCCTGCCCTAGAATATAAGGTGCAAGGGGCAGGGCTTTTGTCTGTACTTATCCTCCTTTTCCCAGCACCATGTCTGGCACACAGTAGGTGCTCAATTTTCTGCTTCATAAATGAAAATCCTAAGGCTCAGAGAGGCTTAAGCCACTCACCAGGGCAATGAGTAGCAGAAGTGTGTGTGAAATCACATTTGCACAAGGATAGCCCTAGGGTGTGTTGGGGGAGGGTAATGGAGCCCACCCAACAGCCGAATCGTGCACCTTTGGAGGGGGATGGTTCCCAATAGGACACACTCAGGTGGCCTGTGTGTGTGTGTGTGTGTGTGTTGGGGGGCTCCAGGGGAGCAGGACTCTGAGAGGAGGGGTGCTGTCTGGCACGGAGGCCAGGCGCCTCCTGTGCAGGTGCTGAGACCCTCCCGCACCCTCCTGGCGGGAGGAGAGGAGCCGCTCACGCTGGCTGTGTTCTGCTTGGGCAGCTGTGACTTCCAGCAGAGACCAGGCCTGTGTCCTCGTGCAGTGGTGAGGACTGACAGCGCCGGCCAAGGCACTCACTCGTCCCTGGGTCTCAGCCTCTTCACCCGTATGGCAGCAGAAAGGGGCGGTGGGGGTGGGGGCGCTGCGTGCTTTTCCGAGTCTCTTCACTTCTAATCTCACACTGAGATTTTGGCTGTAGATCCAGCTGCATGCAGGGCCTCCCCATCAAGCACTTCCTGGGTGCCACATGGGTGTTCACTGATCCCCCGCAGTACTGCCCACTCGATACATCCAGCAAATAGACATGCAGGGCCCCTGTCTACCTGAACCCCCGGCAGGGTGTTGTAGCTGCAGTCCCCGCCTCTCTGGGCTCCTGTCTGTCCTGGGCAGCTCCCATCCCAGTCAAGGGAGCTGTGAGAAAGGCAGCAGTCAGAATCCCCGCCCAGAGGGGAGAGCGAGGGGAACGCACCGGTCACAAGCATGGTCAGCCACCAGGGAAGGGTTCCGTCTAGGGAGTAACTTCGAGAGGAAAGGAGTCACTTGGACCCTGGAAGGGAACCTGGAACCTTGGGAGCCACGCGGTACAATCAGGATCCCTGGTCTCCCCTGGCTGGGCCCCAGCTCTCTGTCTCTGCAGGGGGTGCGTTCTCCCTGGGCCTGGCTGGCACCTGCTGCCCAGCCCTGGGGAGGCCCCACTGAGGTTCTGTCGGAGAGTTGTGGGGCTTCCTCGCTTGTTCTGTTGGGGGCCCAAGCAGAATGATTTCTGAGCTGAGTTAGGAGACCTGGCTCCAGTTTGATCCTGGGACATTCCCTGCCCTCTCCCGTGCCTCTGTTTCCCCAGAAAAACACACCCAGGCAGCCACCCTTTACCTGCCCTCATCCTCTGTGAGGGTGGAGCAGGGAGGAAGTCCATGCCTGGGCCAGGTGCGGGTTTAGGAAAAGCACACGTGAGCTGTGCGTTGGGGCTGGGAGAAGGGTGTTGTTGGCACCGGTGGCCGAGGAGGGCGGTGAGGCAGGCGGCAGGCTCCTTGGTCCTGCAGTGGGAAGGTGGCTTGGGCTGCACCGGCCCCTCCCGCTCCGCTCCTCGTGCTCAGCCCCTTGGCAGTGCTTCCTGCTCTTGTTTTTCCAAGTCACTAATTACCCGCGTGCTTGGGCTCCCAGGCGGGCCAGCTCTCCTGGCCAGCTTCTCCTCAGAGAGCAAGCAGTGTGCTTACCGTGCGTCCTGGTAGAACCAGGGTGTGCTGCTCTCACTCCCCCCCACCCCAGCCCAACCTCTCAGCTGCCTGGGGCAGTGGGTGGTGTTCCCAAGAGGTGATTTTCCCAGCTCCTCTCTGGACTGCTGCCGAGAGCCCACAAGTGGGAGCCATTTGCCTAAGATCACTCATATCAGCTTGTGCTGTTGTGGCAGCCCAATTCCCAGGGGAGGATAGTTGAGGCCAGAAAAGGAACTTGAAATTTATACCTGCAGTGGAGAGAAGCAGGCAGGAGGAGCTCTGGGTAGAGTTGTCAGCCATTCCAGTGGGGCTGGCTTCCTTCCCCTGGCCTGTGAAGGTATCCTGCCCTGGGCAGTGGTGAAAGCAGCAGCGACCAGGGAAGGTACAACCTTTTGAGTTCAAAAGTAGTTTTCACTCATTCAGGCTGTGTGACCCGAGACAGGTGTGTGCCTCTCTGATCCTCAGCTCTTCTTGCGTGAAGTAGCATGATAAGGCCCGCCCCCACCCCGGGCTCTGGGATGACTGGAGGCCATGAGCACACAGGCCCACCCAGGGTGACCCCTGACGAACGGTCACACGCAGAGGTCCCTCGTCAGACCTGCCCCTGCCTAGAAGCCCCCGAGGGCCTGCTGCCTGCTCTCTTCCCTGATCTCCCGGGGTCTCCAGTGGGCTTTGGCAGCACTGAGAGCAAGGTGTGCCCTCCCCTCACTGCTCTGTTCCCAGGGCAGGTCTGGGTCCTTGTTGGACAGAGGCTAGGGCCACAGCCAGGTGACCACTGGACAGGGCAGATGGGGGCAACCGGCAACATATGTCACTCATCTGCCTGTGGCGGCTCAGCCCTCTGCTCAGGGAGACAGCTCCGTCCTGCCCAACAGACAGGACAGGCAGCCACAGGTGGGGGTGGGAGTGGGGATGGGACCCCGGCAACAGCGTCGTGCTGGTGGTGAATGGCATGGCATGAATAACAGATGAGGGCTCCGTAATTGGTGTTATTACACATGCGTCTCATCTCCATTCATAATGATGGGACACTTGAGCCCAGCGCTCCTCAGTGAGCGCGGCTGTCATCAGTCTAGCTGAGAGCCCAGCAGCTGTCAGGATCAGCCGCTGCCTGATGCTCCCGGGTGCTCACACCCGCGGTGCTTTGTCTTGGGAGCCCAGCAGTTTGTGGGAGGGGGCGGCACTGGTTCCCAGCTAGCAGCAAGAGGCTCAGGTGCCTCCCTCGCAGCCCCCGCCTCGGAGCACCCCTCTAAGCAGAGGCCTCCAGAGTTCAATGTGCATCAGAATCACCTGTTCAAACAGTCTGGGGGTGAAGGGGTTCAAATATGCATTTCTAACCAGTTCCCAGGGACCTGTGGCTTCTGGTCCAGGACCTCAGTGTGCGGACCACTTCACCCAAACCTCATCACTCCAGCTGGGCTCTGACAGCCTCACCCGAGAGCTTGTGAGAAGTGCAGAGTCAAAGGCTGAGCCCTGGCCTGCCCCAGTCAGAATCCCATGGGGGCAAGATTCCCAGATGGTCCCTCCGCCCATCACGGCGTGAGAAGCCCAAAGCACCAATGGGCAGCAGAGGCCGGCAGAGCTGTCGGGAGCAGGGCGAGGCAGCCGGGGCTCCCTGACCACTGGCCTCTCACAGGAGCACCTCTGTCTTCTGGGCAGTGTGACAAGGGCTGGGAAGTGTTGACCAGCAGATGGATACAGGCCCTGGGGGGAGGGCGTTCCATTCCACCCCATACTCCATCTCAGTCCCATCTTTCCTGACCTAGCCGATTGCCTGCCTGGTAGCCTATGCACCTGCTCCCTGTGGGGGTCCCTGCCCTGCCAGCTGCCCCTTACTCTGTCTCCTCCCCATTCCCGCAGGTGGTGGCCTTCGCCTCCCTCTTCTTCATCCTGGTCTCCATCACCACCTTCTGCCTGGAGACCCACGAGGCCTTCAACATCGACCGCAACGTGACTGAGATCCACCGGGTGGGGAATATCACCAGCGTGCGCTTCCGCCGGGAGGTGGAGACGGAGCCCATCCTGACCTACATCGAGGGTGTGTGCGTGCTGTGGTTCACTCTGGAGTTCCTGGTGCGCATCGTGTGCTGCCCCGACACCCTGGACTTCGTCAAGAACCTGCTCAACATCATCGACTTCGTGGCCATCCTGCCCTTCTACCTGGAGGTGGGGCTGAGCGGCCTCTCCTCCAAGGCCGCCCGCGACGTGCTGGGCTTCCTGCGCGTCGTGCGCTTCGTGCGCATCCTGCGCATCTTCAAGCTCACGCGCCACTTTGTGGGGCTGCGCGTGCTGGGCCACACCCTGCGCGCCAGCACCAACGAGTTCCTGCTGCTCATCATCTTCCTGGCCCTGGGCGTGCTCATCTTCGCCACCATGATCTACTACGCCGAGCGCATCGGCGCCAGGCCCTCCGACCCGCGGGGCAACGACCACACCGACTTCAAGAACATCCCCATCGGCTTCTGGTGGGCTGTGGTCACCATGACGACCCTGGGCTACGGGGACATGTACCCCAAGACGTGGTCGGGCATGCTGGTGGGGGCGCTGTGTGCGCTGGCCGGCGTGCTCACCATCGCCATGCCGGTGCCTGTCATCGTCAACAACTTTGGCATGTACTACTCCCTGGCCATGGCCAAGCAGAAGCTGCCCAAGAAACGCAAGAAGCATGTGCCGCGGCCGCCCCAGCTCGAGTCGCCCATCTACTGCAAGTCGGAGGAGACCTCGCCCAGGGACAGCACCTACAGCGATGTCAGCCCCCCAGCCCGGGAAGAGGGTGTGGTCGAGAGGAAACGGGCAGGTGAGACCCCTAGTGTGCTTGCCAGGGATCCTCCTCCCTTGGAATAGGGTCCGTGCTCGATGGTGCTGGGCTTCCCTGAGTCTGAGCTGTGCCTTTAAGAGGGCTAAACATTGCAGCCACGCCCCTCCACCCCCGGGGAATGTCTGGGTATGGGGAGTCAGGATCCCACCCAGTGCAGGCTGAGACGCCAGGCACTTGGGGCTGTGTATTAGAAGTCCTGGCCCAGCCACATCTGGGCCATTGGGCTCTGTTTGCTGAGGCCAGTCCCTCACCCTCTCTGGGCATCGATTCCCCCCCACCCCTTAAAATGGGAATGACCTGTCAGTAGCCTGCCCCCTAGACGTCGCTGTGACCCGGTGGGTTTCAGCTGTGAAAGCTCTCTGAGAAGTGGGAGCCACGTTATGGGCTCAGGCACTTTCATGATTAGCCAGAGAGCAGGGCAGCTGTTTCCCCAAGGTGCATCAGCGTGTGAATCACTCCCTCCCAGGGTTCTGAGTCTGGTGTCTTCTTGGCCTAACAAATGTGCTAACGTAACAGCAGTGGGAGGCTGCCTTCTGTTCAGCTCCAGCTCGATGGAGCCCTGGGCTCAGGGTTTGGTGGGGTGGAAGGGAACCGAGGAGGGAGTGGCCCAGCCGGTGCTGGGAAGTGGAGGGAGGTGGAGGAAGCTGGTGTCTGCGTGCTGGTGGGGGAGGGCCTGGGCATCCGAATCCTGTCCTTCGAGGATAGGAAGGGCCAGTCCACGACGGCTCCCCTGCCCTCAAGTCAGGAGACGACGGGAGGAAAGCAGCTCCGTCTCCAGCAGTGTGCAGTGTGGTTAGGGGAGGGGAAAGGCACCCTGAGCGTTCGTTAGGTGTGGACTGGGCTCCTGGGGCAGGTAGATGGAAGTCTCTGGTGTGGGCACGTGTTGGATGCCAGGCCCTCAGGGGACTGGGCTGGGGCCGCTCCTCGGGGAGAGTGGACCTTGTCCTCTTGGGGAGGCGCTGTGGCCTCTTGGACATGCTGGGGCAGACCCCTGTAAGAACTGCACCTGCCGGGCCCCTTCCTCTCCCACCAAAGGGTACCCCCTTCCCGACCCCTGAGTATAAATCTCCCAGAGAGGTTCAGCTGTTCTTCTGGCATCCAGACTTAGAGAGAATCCTGGTAAACCAATGCGGCAGTCCTGTGGTGGGCCCCACAGTGTTCGCCCAGCCACCGTGCTGGGGTGCCATCTTCAGCCCAAGCTGTCCCCCTTTCTCCAGGTCCAAGGGCCCAGCTTCCCCTTAGACCTCGAACTTCACAGCAGCAAGGAGCACAGAACAGCACTGCCAGCTGAACTGGAGCCTCTGCCACCCAGTGCCCTCCCCTGCCCCGGGAGACCCGGGGGGTGAGAATGCCATTTACGGCTCAGACTCTGGCGGGGCCCCCTCAGCCCAGCCAGCAGCCATTCTCTGTGGGAATTGCAGACTCATCCAGCGTGAACCTGAGCCAGAGCCAGGGAGGAAGCTGGGGCTGTCACCTGCCTTGGGCTGATCTCGTGGGGGCAGCCCTAGCAGGCAGATTGGGGGCATCCCAGCTGTAGGGGAGGTGTTGGCCATCACAGCACCCTTGTGGGGAGACCCTAGGCTGAGGCTGGCGGGGGGCATCCACCTTCACGGCCAGCACAGCATTCTGCTCTGGTGACACCCCACCCCTGTGTGTCATTTGGGCGAGCAGCCCCCCGGGTCTGGGACCTGAGAGAGCCAGAGAGCCCCATGAGGATGGCCCAGGCTGAACAGCCTCCCGTCTGTCTGTCCCTCAGACTCTAAGCAGAATGGCGACGCCAGTGCGGTGCTGTCGGACGAGGAGGGAGCTGGCCTCACCCAGCCCCTGGCCTCTGCCCCCACCCCCGAGGAGCGCCGGACCCTGCGCCGCTCAGGCACCAGGGACAGAAACAAGAAGGCAGCCGCCTGCTTCCTGCTCAGCGCCGGGGACTATGCCTGTGCCGATGGCAGTGTCCGGAAAGGTATGGCTCCCTGCGCCGGGCAGGTGGGGAGCCCCCACAGAGCACAGACCCCCCAGCCCTCCCCACGGAGCTTCGGCTCCCCACCTCCCCGCAGCCAGTGGCCTCCTTCTCCTCTGCCGTGGATACGCCCCCATTTTTAGAACGGGTACCCCGAGCTCCCAGCCTCAGTTGAGAAAGGCCTCGCATTCCCCAAAGGGTGTTCGGAGCCCTCCCCCAGGTGCCCCTAGGGAGGAGTGGAGCTGGAGGGTTGAGCAGACTCCAGGCCCCCACTGCCCCCTCTGTTTTTATCACCTTCTCTGCTTCTGGTTTCTGCTGCTTCTCTCAGGCTTGCCCAGGTAAGGAGTCCCAGGAGACACCCACCACCTGCGGGAGTCAGGTGCAAAGGCCTCAGAGAGCCCAGCGCGTGCCCATCCCTTCCTTCCCATCCTGTACTGGGTCCTGGGGCCCAGGGTGGCCTGACCTGGGTCTGTAGTCAGCCAGGGTATGACTGTCCTCTGAGACGGAGCCCGAGGGGACCAGGGGCCAGGCGGGCAGCGAGAGAGGGTCCCACCTGGGCAGTGTTGGGAAGGATTTGGCAGTTAAAAGAGCGTGACCCATCAGGGAAGCTGAGGTCCCACCTCCAGGCCCCAAGCCTGCCACAGGGCAGGGCAGAGGTGGGGCAGTGGGGCTGGAGGCCCCTGGTCTGGAAAAGGGGCGAGGAGGGGTCATGGTGTGAGTGAGCGAGGGCCTGTGGTGAGAACCTGGCGTCTGGAGACCAGCTGCTGCTTCTGCCCAGTTTCTGATCACCTTTTGTCCTTGTTTGTCCCTGTGACCTAAGTGCCCGAAGCAACTTGCCTGATAGGATGGGTCTCCACAACAAAGCTCTGTGCAGAGTTCTCTGGCCACTGTCCCCAGACCCCAGCCCCAGCCCCAGCCCCAGCCCCAGCCCCAGATTGGGCTGAGAGAGGCAGGGGTCCTATTTTTGGCAGAAGCAGGAGCTGTGGTCTGGCACCCAGAGGAGGGTGGGTCTCTAGGCACAGAGGGAGTGCACACAGACCTTGGACACTCACCTGTCACCCCCTGCTGCTCCAGTCCTCAGGCCCTGGATGTGCCTCTCTCTCCTGCCTCCCATCCCAAATGTGCCCAGCTCCACCACGTCTGGCTGGAGCCTACTAAGCAGACATTCCAGAATGTGGGGTGTTGGAGACCCCATTTCTTTGTAGGCCTCAAGCAAACAACCAAGTATCCCTGCCTCCTTCCCTGTGCTGTGAGGGGCTCTGTGCAAGTAGAGGTGCAAGTGTGAGGGTGCAATCAGGGGGACCCCAGCTACTGGGAGCAGGCCGTACCTGGGCAAGGGTTGCACGTGTGTGTGCTTGGAGCCGGAAGCCTGTGTCCCACCCCCTATCTCTCTGGGGTGCCTGTGGGGCCCAGCTGCTCTAGTTTCAAGATGCCTCCACGCTGCTTCTTGGCAACAAGCATGCAGCCCAGCCAATTAGAGTGACCTTCGAGAGGGAACAGGTGGGTTGCTGGGAAACAGGCCCTGCTAAGCAAGCACGGCAATGAACAGCGCCAAACTCCCAGTGCACACTCGACAACTTTCCCCATGCCGTCCCAGGCTGCACTTCTCTGCAGCCAGGCTACCTGCAGGACCAGGAGGAAGTGTGCCTGGGGCCTCCTCCAGTCACCAGCCACCAGCCATCAGCCACCAGCACAGAACCTTGTGGCTGCTTGTGTGGCAGAGTGCCAGCTTCCCGGGAGGAAGATGGCAGGTGCTAATTGGCCCTGGAGGCCATGGGGTCTTTATGTAACCAAGCCACGGAGGAGCTGGAGAGGCTGAAGCAGCCCAGGACACAAATGTGCTGAGTGTGGGCCCTGAGGTCTGTCCTCGGGAGTCCAGATGACCCAGAGACTAGGGAGAGTTAGGGAGCCTCTCCCTGGAGTGCCAGCCCCTCCACTCCAGCCCACAACCACCTGCCCCGCAGGGTTCCATGGAGCTGCTCTGTGGAGGAGCTGCACCCCCTGACCCTTGTGCCTTTTCTCCACCAAGGCTGTACCAAGTCCCGGAGTCTAAACAACATAGCCGGAGCGGCTGGAAGCAGTCTGGGGCTGTCTCCACTGGCATCGCGGTACAGCTCGCCCTACCCTCCAAGAAAGCTCTTGCTCTCCCACCCCTTCCCACCCCTCACCAGCCCACCGCCTGGCCACTGTGCCCCTTAGTGACGCCTGGACTCTGTCATACACACACCAACAGGCACACTCACCTGCCTCGTGCCCTTGTCCCTCCTGGGGCCTGTAGGGAGCACAGGAGGCCACCCGTCAGGACAAACTTTGGTCCGAGCCTCTTGTCCACAGCACCCAGCTCTCCAGATTATTCAAGGGGCAGGTGACTTCCAGAGCTGCTCCCCTGTGCTCCACCCTGGCCAAGCTCTTCTGAGCTACAGGTACCAGCACATCCAGGGCCCTGCCTCCCTCTCAGGGTCCCACAGGCCAGCCTGGATGGCCAGGCCCATCCGGGAAAGGTCCATGGTGCACCCAGAACCGCTCAGCCTTGCTGGGCAGCCATGCCTGCATTAATATTTTTAATCACAGCAAATGCACTGACCTGCTTCGTGGCCTTTAACCAGTAACCAAACAACCTGTCTGTCTGTCTGTCTGTCCATCCCACGCAGGCAGCGAGCAGGGATAAAGGAAGTTGGACTCCCAGCAGGGCAGTGCCCACAGCAGTGGTGCCCTGGGGGAAGAGGTCTGATGCTTTCCAGCTTGGGCCTGGGGTGCAGGTGGGGCTTCCTAGAGGCGGAGCCTCAGGCTTGGCACAGCCCGGGGCTGGCCACCTAGGCACAGGAGGACCCTTGTCTCTGGGGGGCCCCTGCCTGGATTCAGCGGGTGACAGCCCGCCGCGGTGCCCGGCATCCCATCTGTGCCCCGAGCTGCGGTTTCTCTCGCACTGCTTCCTCTGCTTCCGCGACAGTTCTCCTCCTCTCCAGCTTCCCTCAAACGCCCAGCCTCGCTTCTGAGTCACCTGCCGCTCCCACCCAGCCTCTGCGCTCTGTTTTCCTGCCAGAACCGGAGACTCATCTAATTTCTATAATTAAGTGTATTCATTTACCTAACGAGCCCAGGAGCACAACACGTTTGTGAGTCACGGGCGAGCAGGGTGCACGTTGCGCAGGGGCAGCTGAGGGGAAGTGCCGGCGCACCTGCTCCTGCCAGCCAGCCCCTCCCCCAGCAGGTCCTCCTTGGACCGGGGACTGAGGAGCAACTGAGAACGCCTTGGCCAAGACATTTCCTGTTTTCACCTGATGGGAATTAGACCTGACACCGGGACCGTGTGCCTGGCAATTTTTAGAGTCAGATTATGCAGCCTTGTCGGGGGAGTGACTAAGAAAGGTCCCTGTGTGCTTCTCCCAGGGTGGGCAAAGGCAGGCGTGGGGAGGCAGCCCACAGCAAGGTTGGACTGTCTCATGGGGTTGGGGGCCAGGAGCTTCTCCATCTTGGGCAGACGTGGGAATGTCTCATCTGGAAAGGTCTGTTCACACTGGGCGCTAGGATACCCCAAGCCAGCTGTGATCCATGGCGCCTGCCTCGCCCATGCCCTCAGGAGGACATGACCCCTGAGAGCCAAGAAGGACTCCAGGGGCGTCAGTGCCACCGCCCTTCATCAGGGGACAGGCCCCTTTAGGTGGCAGGTGGCTGGGGCACGCACCATCTTCACTCACAGCTGAGTGTGAGAGCCCAGCTTCCCCGTGCAGCAGGGCTCCCTGGCACCGAGGTCTGGGGTCTGCCGGGGACACGGGGAGCCAGGTGTGCAGCTGGGCGTGGGTGCCACAGTTTCTCCTCTGACTCGCCGCTCTGGTTCGGGGAGCCGAGCCGGCTATTTCTGTGGCAGCCCTCGAGTTGTCAGGAGCCCAAGTTTCCACGGCACCCACCGCCTCCTTGCCTCTCTTGCCTCCCACGGGGATGGGCATGCTCATGGCACCCCTGCGGTGGGCACAGATGTCCCTGGGCGACACACCCAGCAGTGCCAGGCTGGAGCCCCTGGGGGTCTTGGGAGCTGGGCCCTCACCGTCCCTTCCTGGCTCTGTAGGGGAGACAGGACCCAGCTGATGGGAGGGCTGAGTGGGCTCTCTGTCACCAACTGCACTTCTCTGGCCCTTCCCGGGACCTGGAGGAGGGCAGCGTGAGTCCCGGCATGTGCCTCATGCTCTACGCTGGCAGGTGGCAGCCTGCATAGGCCCCAGGCACCCCACTAGGCCTTAGGCCTCGCTCCTCGGGAGAAGGCTGTCTCCTACCCACGGTCTGAGAGTGCAGCTTGCTTTCCCTCACTTGGACTTAGACTTGGGCTTGGTCCTGCCCCCGTTGCTTTGGCTTTTAGATGCCTTCCCTGCAGCTGGGCCTTGGCCACTTCCCTCAGAGCAGGCAAGCAGCCAGGTGGGAGTTTTGAAACCTGCCTTCCAGCCCAGCCTGTACCAGGGTTCCTGCCAGCCCCGAGGTTGCTCCCCAGCCCCTGAAGCTTCTGAGAGGAAGGACTGAGAGGGAAGTGACTTTCTCCTGGAGCCAGGGCTCACGAGGGTCAGAGGGGAGGTCGCCCTGCTGCACCCCTGATGGGTCAGATAGGGAGAGTCCAGAGAGAGCCCTCCCCAATGCTCAGAGATCCCTGAGGGCAGACGTTCGAGAGAAAGCAGCCTACTGCTGTTCCCTCCCTAGAATGGGCTTTAAGCCCACCACAGCTATCCAGGACCTCCTGGGAGCCCAGGGGCCTCGGAGTTGGGTACTGTCGAGGTTCCTTCCTGACTAGTCAGTGTTAGGAGCACAGGGCAAGGCCACAGCTCTCTGCTTGTCGTCAGGACAAGGGGCCCTGAAGAGCCTGGGGTTCTCTGATTTCCTCCAGGGTGGCACTCAAAGGCCCAGAACACTCCTGGGCCAGGGGGCGGTGGTTGAGGAGGTAGTGACAGCGTCATTCCAAGACGAGAACAGCCTGTCCCTAGGAAAGCAGTGGAGGCTTTCAGCATGGCCGCAGCCCAGAAGGCTCTGGATGCCACATCTGACCCCTGCTTTGGCGAGAGGCTGGGCCCTGGGCCCCAAATCTAATAGCCTCAGGGGTTGTCTCAACGCTGACCTGGAGGGAGCTGAAACCCCACTGCACTATCACGCAGCTCTGCAGCTGGGTCTGAGCAGCCTCACTGCCTGTCCTGCCTGCTGCTCCGCGGACAGCAGGGGAAGAGAAGTCCCAGGTCCCAGACACACCGGGCTGAGGCTGGGCTGCTGATCGGGGCCCTCCGAGGGGGTCCTAGTAGGACGGTGCTGTTGGCCTTCTCTCCCGGAGCGTCCCCTTCAGTGTTCGCCCCACGCTGCTCGCCCTCCGACCTCTGGGCTCCTCCTGCCACACTGAGAAAGAGCTGGGTGGAGATGGCACCATACTCGGGCACCTTCTTCACCAACTCTTGGGACGAGGGGCTAGCCCGGGGTGGGGGTGCTGCAGAAGCAGATGGAGAGCTCAGATTGGGTAGGCAGTAGCCAGGGTGTGCCATGGGCCACGCCAGGAACTTTCCCTAGTGTCCTCACGCCACGCTGCAGAGCTGTGGTCCCTCTGCCCATGGCACTGGAGCTGCTGCTACCTGAGCAGGTGTGGAGACGAGCTGCAGCACCAGCTGAGGCACCTCGGCCCAGAGCTGAGTTGGTGGAGGGGTGGTGGAGGGCTTGCCTGTTCCCTGCCCTTCCTGGCTCTGAGCCCTGGGTTGCTCCTAGCTCTGCTCCTGGCCTGCTCCTTAGTCCATAGCCTGTGGGTCAGCAGCTGGCTTCCTTCTAACCTCTCCTTCTTTGTTTCTCCCTTTCTCTTGCTGAACTCCTTGCCCCCTTTCCCCCCCTCCCCCAGAAGGCAATGTTGAGCCGAAAGCGTGCGTCCCAGTGTCTCACACCTGTGCTCTTTAAACACAGAGACCTGCCAAGACGCCCTCTCGTCCAACTATGCCCAGGCTGAAGTCCTCACTCTCTCCTAAAGCGGCACCAACGTGAGAGACAGGCAGACAGACAGAAAGACAGCCAGAGGCTTAGGGGAACTCTGGACCCCAGGCAAGACTCTTTCGCTGGGAAGGACTCAGCTATCCTTGTTTGCACAGGACTGGTGGAAAACCTCCCATGCTACCCTCGGGGCCCAGAGCCATCTGGGTGTGAAGCTCTACTGTACATTGAAGAGATATATATGCACATATAGTATCTATATTCATACATACTCTACTCTTGGGTGTAGTGCACGTGCTAGTGGTAGTCCGTCTTCTTTGTAAGCCTCTGTCTGCCAGCCCTTCCCCCACCCCGAGATCCCCATCCTCTTTCCCTTGCCAACTCCTTGTTGTTTTCTGCTGACCGTGTGTGTGTGCGTGTGCGTGTGTGTGTGTGTGTGTGTGTACTGTCCCAGGAAAAATGCACGTGGGAACTGCCCGTCCAGCTGGGAGGTCCCCGGCTGCTCTCTCCTGGGGGGGGTGGTTTCCTCTGCCAGCAGGTGGCCTGTGGAAGTCCCTCAAGGGCCAGACTACCCCCCCCCGGGTCCCTGCTCCACCAGCCCCACCCCACCCCAGATTGGGGTTCTACCTCTACCCCGTGCCCCAGTTGTGGGGAGACTTTCAGGGGCCCCCCCTGAAGCCTCCTCCATGCCTTTCTCCACCCCTGTCTGTGTCCCGGACTGAGGGGGGGCATTTTGTCGTCTTAATTTTTTTTGTCTCCTCCGTCTGTTTGTCTACAAAGATGCTGCTGGGCAGGCGGGCAGGGAAGGGGTCCGTCTGCCCACGTGGCTCAGGGGTGTGAGAAGGGGACGCCTCGGGCGAGCGGAGACCAGTTGCAATACTGTACTTCCTGGCTAGCAGCCAGCGGACGCGTGCAATAGCAGAGGCCAGGCGACCCCTTCAGCCGCGGCCTCTGCCCTTCCCTCAGCCCTCCCTCCCTGCCCCACCTCGGTGTTGGTCCGTCCCGTGTGTCCGAGGCATGCCTAGGCCGGGCCCACCGCCCTGTCCGCATGCCTTCAGCTGTCATGCTGTGCTCGAGCCCCAATAAAGACATCTGGAGCAATGTGTGCCGTGCTGTGTGCGTGCCTGCGTCCGCCTCTCCTTTCTGGCTCTGTGTCTGTGGGGACCTCTCCAACCTCCCACACCCAACCCTTGAAGAACACAGCCAATTGTAGCACAACCCGGCCACACCCGGAGTTAGCCTCGTGGCCCAAGCCCTGCGTGTTGTAGTGGGAACTGGTGCTTGAAGAGGAAGCCCGGATGCCCCAAGGCCACAGAGGCTTGACAGGGACCCCTGGTTCCCAGTCTCTGTGTCTGCCGCCTGAGCCCTCCTAAGGCAGAAGAAAAGACTTCCTTGTTGAGGGGCTTCCACTGTGATGCTGGGACCTCCCTCCTCCCCGCAGTCATGAAGTTCTAAGTGGGCCAAGGCCCCCGGGAGGTCAAAGTCCTGGTAATGATGGGATGGCTGTCAGACTGTCAGATGGAGGCCGACGACGTACTGGTGGCATCACCCAACCTGACCAGGGGGCCACTTAGGGATGAGGTGGGGACACAAAGGATGGGGAGATGGCAACCGATGGCCACACGTGAGCTGTCACCCTCACTGCTGTTCCCCTCGCACACTCGCATGGGCGCATGCAGGCCTGGCTCCCCTGGTCTGCAACCTCTGTAGTAATTAAAGGGCCTCTTGCTGGGTTGAACGCCCGGCTGTTACTGTTGTGAAGTTAATAATTCTCAAACAAATGGCCTTGTAGCTTCTGCCTTGTGTCTGGGCTCTGCAGATCATGTAGCTGGGTCCTGGTGTGCGTCTGTCTTTCTTTTCTCCTTTCCTACCCCTCTCACCGTCGTATTTCAGGCATAAACTCAGGATCATAGGGGCCTCTGTTCAAAGCCTTGAGCTGGCACTTACTAGCTGGAGACACCCCTCCAAAGCTGTTTCCCTGTCTGCACCTAATTCAGAGACGGTATAAAGAGGCTGGCCCTGTGCCACGTGTCTACCTATGACAAATAGCAGGTACACAGTAGGAGTTCCATCCTGACCCCTCTGTCTGGAGCCCTCAGCCTTTTCCCTATGGACTGCGGACCTCCGCATGTCCACTCGCTCCAAGGAAGGACAAGAGCACACCCTGAGTTGTCTGGGGCGATGCGAAAGAGCAGAGCAAGGGCCTCAGGTCCAAGGGCAGGGAAGAAGCCAGGGAAAGCCTGTTCCTGAAGTGTAGCCGGGCTTGGAGCCTGGGCCCCCAGGAGCAAGGTAATGGCAGGCAGCCAGTTGTCAATTAAAGATAAAATCTCTCCTCCAGCCGCAGAGGGCAAGCCCCCCACACCCCCAGACAGGAGAAAGCCATTTGCAGCCAGGCTCCTAGGAGCAGCTGGGCCAGGCGATAATGGGGTGGGATGCGCTGCTGGCTCTGTAATGATATTACGCATCAAGGCCACGGCCAGCAGGGCTGGTTTCAGATTAATGTGGAACCGCTGCATGGTGCGGGTTTAAGAGTCCAGCAAGCAGCCCAGGGGTGCCCAGTGCCGGGGGCCATGATGGGCCTGATGGCATGCCGCTGGGATCCTGGGGGAGGAGGTGGCGGTGTGCAGGAGGTGGGGGAAGCAGGTGATCACCCATGCCCCCCCGCCCCCCAGGAGTGGCACGTGGTGTTGTTAAGGGCAGAGGGGCCCCTGAGGCTGGTGCTGAGCTCCACCCACACCAGGGAGCTACTTGAAAGAACCGGGCACTGGCGACTGAGACAGGCCTTGGGACTTGGCCTTGGGGTTGAAGCCCTGGCTCCATCGCTGTCTCGTGTGACCTTGGGCAAGTTACTCGACCTGGCCGAACCTCTGTTTCCTCACCATTGAGATGGGAGTCCTAGCAGCGTCAGACTTGCTGAGCTATCAGGAGCGTTGAGCGAACCGGTGCTTGCAAAGTCTTTCCGAGCACGTGGCACACGATCGTGGCTTCCAAATGCTGGGGGCAGCTCATTCCTGCTCTCATGTCTCCGCCCTCTTCAAGATCAGTGCTGTGAGGCGGCATCATTTCAGTGAGGGCCCCATCTCCTTGTGCTGGGACCGGGGGCTGGGCTGGCACCATGTGCCCCGAGTACTGCTCCGGGCGGTACAACCCTGCTCATGAGTAGGCGTCTGAAGGTCGGCGTTCTCTGCATGTCACAGAGGGGTGGATTGGAACACAGCGATGTCAGGTTGTTTCTCCAAGGTCACACAGCCAGTGAGTACTGCCCTGGGACCCACACCCCAGCTGGCTGGGTCTCTTCAGGCCACTGTCTGAACTGCAGAAGGGGCGGACATTATGGTACAGCAGCTTAAGCTGCTGCATGCAAAGTTCACATCCCATGTTGGAGGGTCTGGGTTCGAGTCCCTGCCCCACTTCAGATTCCAGCTTCCTGCCATTGCTTACATTGTGGGGTAGCAAGTGATGGCTCATATACCTGGGTCCCCAGCCACCCAAGTGGGAGGTCCGGATGGAGTTTCTGGCTCCTGACTTCAGCCTGACCCAGCAACAGCTGTTCGGGGGCATTTGTGGAATGAACCAGCAGATAGAAGATCTCTCTCTCTCTATCTCTCTCTCTCTCTCGTCTGCCTTTCAAGTAAATAAATAAAATTGGGATATAACTGAAAGAAGAAAGTAAGCTTTTTAAAAAGAAATTATTAAAACTGCATGGAGCTTTGTGCTTTTAATGTTTCTATTCCCTTAATCTCAGGTGGTTCTTACAGCAAAGCTGCTGTATCCCTTTGATAGGTAAGGGCCCAGGAAAGGGAGGTAAGTGGCTTAACTCCCTCTCCCTTCTGTGTGTGTGCCCCTCCCCCGCCCACACGGTCAGCAGTCAGCAGGAGGTGGCTCCCAGCGCGGCCAGTGAGTGACCTCTTCCCTCATGCAGCCCCACTGGATTTTATTCTCTGACTCCCAGAAGGGGTGACTGGGGTGAGACTATTCTGGAAACGGAGTCACATGAGGAACAGCTCAGTGGGACCCTAGCCTGCAGCTGTTTGAAGCGTACCCATGGGGAAGAGGGTTCAGATTCCGCTCGGCAGCTCAGGGGCCACTGGAGGAATGGTAGGAAGGCAGGTTGGATTCCAGGAAAGAACCTTGTCTGTGTCGCTAGCTGTTGCAAAGTTCATGCAGGGGTAGGGAAGCGTCCAGCTGCCAATCAACAGGGAAGCGCCATCACCCTCCCTCAACCCCACCCTGCGGTGACCACCATCCTTCCCGGCCTTGGGGAAAGGGGAAGCTTGGAGTAGGCCGCTCTGTGAGGTGGGGAAAGCCCCTCCCTTGGCGGTCACGTTCAGTGCGGGCTTTGCCGGAGGTGGCATTGGAAGACCTGCTGCTGCAAGACTTTCTCACTCATGGGCCCTATGGCTGCTTGGTGGTGGAGGCATCTCCGGAACCCAGGCCTTCTGAGGAGGGCTCAGATGAGCCGCTTTCCCAGCACGATTTTCCTCCTATTTCCTTATCGGTGGAGGAGCGGCATTCCCTGTAGGAGTCCCTCTCTGCCTCTTCCCGTCCCATTAGGCCAAAGGGCAGGGCAATGAACTGTCCATGGCAATGCCAGTCTGGAGCGCCTTGGGGGACACCTGGGCTGGGCCTGTGATGCCACGCAGGGGGCCCCTTTGGCATGGCTGCAGTGAGCACGCTCCTCAGTTCCCAATGCCCAGGCCTGGTACCTATGCAACAAGCAGCCCAGGAGCTGGCTTGGTCCTGCGGGGCCATGGCAACCAGATTCGGGCCCAGGACAGCCTGCCTCACCCCCGAGGGCTGCCAGGGACGCCAGGGACCTGGCTGTCTCCCAGCAACCTCAGTTGCGCCACCTCTGCCTGGACTCCCCAGGGATGCCTGGATGGGTAGTGGTTATGGAGCACACACTAAGGCTACTTAGCAGGAGCCTGTCAGAAAAGCGAGTTCCTGCTTTTGCCTGAACAAGGGTCCCTGCTTTTTAAATCGGCAGTCCCTGATGGCTAGAGGCGCGAGGGCTGGTCCCTTCCTTCCTCTCTGTCACCCCTTTCTGGGTGACCTCATCCACGCCCATGGCCTTAAACATCTCTTGGTGCTGATGACATCCACATTCCTAGTGTCAGTCCAGAAATCCCTTCTCATTCATTCATTCATTCATTCAATGAACCCATCCTGAGCCCCTCTCTATTCCAGGCTCTGCTCTCCGTGCTGAGTGTAACACAGGGACCCAAACAGATGGGCCTCTTTCCCTCCTGCTCTCCGGACTCCTTGACTCGGCCTGCGCGGTCCTCCCCTTGGCTCCCACCGTCCGCCCTGAGTCGGAGCCAGACACTGGGGGTGGTGGTTGAGCCCGCCCTCTTCTTCCTTAATTCACTGACTCATTTGTCAGGCGGGATATTCAGCTATCATGCAGGATGCTTTCTGCAGCACCTGCCCTGGGTCCTGGGAACGCAGGATCCCTGCCCTTGGGGAATTCACAGTCTAGCCGGGGAGAGAGAGGCCAGGACACCAGTAGACAAAAGAATTCCATCTGCCGCCCTCATCCCAGCCCATCCACCAGCTCCAGGTTTCTGGCTTTGGAATCTTTCTGGGTGTTCTGGCTCTCTGCACTCAGCCAGTGAGCCCTGGGCTCCTGCAGGAGGCCCTTCCCTGGGTCCCACTGGCCCTTCCACCCCCAGCCTTCCCCAGCTGCCAGAGAGCGCTTCTGAAAATGGAAAGCGATCGAGTTACCCCGGCTGCAAACCCTTGGTGGCTGGACTCCCGTTGCTTTTCCAATAAAATCCAGGCTCCTGAGAGGGACCTCAAGGGCCGGCTGCTGCTCAGGCGCCTCCGGCCTCTGCCGCCTCACCCCTGCCCTGCTCCGCTCTCAGCCCCAGGAGGCGGCAGCTGGCTTTGCCCCTCCGTCTCAGACCCTGAGTGTTGGGCAGGTGCTGCTCGTAGAGAGGGGCATTCTGCCGCACCCCAACTCCTCTGGCCTGGCCTCCCCGCCTCAGCCACCTTGGGCCTCTGTTATTTCCCATCGCTGCAGCCAGCGCCTCTTCTCCTCTTCTTCATGGTGCTTATGGCTCTTTGTAACTATTTACTTGTTTATTGCCAGCCTCCCTGTAAGTT